AATTATTGAATTTTGCCCAGGAATTTTTTTTTATTTTGCAATATAAGCAAATTAGTTGAGTTCAGCATTTATATGAATTTTTAAAATATAGGACTCTTGCATTATTTTATTTATGGAGTTTCACCATAAAGTGTCTGGTATGTTAAAAACATCTTGCATAACATTCAAACCTGATTATTTGCATGTAATTGTACCTTGTAAATATGATACAAACTTAAATATGGATTTTTATGTCCATATACAAAAAGTGTAATCCACTTAGTGTTATAAATGAATTCTGAGCTGGTTTTGCATTCTCAAGTAGAAATGTTTTTTAACTAGAATATATATATTGGAACGCACAGATTTTGGTCTCTTCATGTAGAGATGAAAAATAGTTCCATGCAAGCGATAGATAGTTTTACTGAATCACTAACCTCTACTACTTAGATTTCTACCATTATTAGCATGTTCACAATAATCCTGGCAATAGTTACAGAAGAGCAGTGACTGTGTGTACCTAGAAAAGGGCTCATCATAGTTCAGCACTGAAAGCTAGTCAAATGATGGTCAAAGACAATAGCTAGTCAAAACTAGTGTGTCCTTGTAGTGAAGAACGGCATACCAGACTGCATTAATAGAAGTGTTGCCAGTAGTGAGGGAAGTGGTTCTTTCCCTCTTCAGCACTGGTGAGGCTACATCTGGAGTATTGTGTCCAGTTTTGGGCTCCTCAGTAGAAAAAGGATATGGCTAAATTGGAGAGTCAGTGGAGAGTAAGCAAAATGGTTAGGGGACTTGGGACATATGATTTACAAGGAGAGGCTGAGGGAACTTGGCTTGTTAATCTGGAGAAGACTGAGAGGAGATTTAATAGCAGCCTTCAACTCCCTGAAGGGGGTTTGAAAGAGGATGGAGGTAGACTGTTCTCCGTGGTGGCAGATGACAGAACAAGGAGCAATGGTCTGAAGTTGCAGCAAGGGAAGTTTAGGTTGCATGTTAGGAAAACTTTCTCCCCAGGAGGGTAGTAAAACAAGTGAAACAAGCTACCTAGGGAGGTGATGGAAGCCCCATCCTTGGAAGCTCTTAAGAGCAAGCTGGACAAAGCTATTGGCTGGGATGGTATACTTGGGGATGGGCCTGCTTTGAGCACAGGGCTGAACTAGATGTGGTGACTACCTGAGGCCCCTTCCAACCCTCACTTCTATTACTTATTTCATAGAATTACATAACAACAGTGGCCAGCTGAGGGCCCTGCTGCAGAGAAAGCTGGCTAGAAACCTCCTCTTGAGTTGTTGCAGCTTTTCAAGCACTCCCTTCGTAGAGGGTTGGGTCTTTTTAGAGCTGCACAGTCATTTTTTCCGTTGTGATGATCATTTGCAGGTGTGGCTGCTCGAAAGTTGTGGGACTGCTCCGAGAATGGCGCAATGTCCGCAGCGTCTAGCGGGTGCCAGAAAAAAACCCCCAGGGCATGATTTTTTTTTTTTTTTTAAATCAAGGACGGGCTGCACCGCGGGGACGTGGCGGGAGCCGGGTGCCGCCGGGGCGCGCGGCCCGCCGGTCGCCATGACTACTTCAGTGTGACAGCGCAGGCGGCGGCGCAACCAGGCCGCGCGGCCCCTGACAGTTGCCGGCTCCTCCCGCGCTCGGGACGGGCCGAGCAGCACTGGGCGGTCGCGCCTCAGCCACCGCTGTTGATCTGCCCCCAGCCCTGAGGCGCAGCGCGCGGGCTAACCTTCCGCCCAACGGCCGCTGCCAAAGGGCGGG